GCTAATGGAGACGGAGCCTCTAGGGGGTGCTTCTGTATGGGGCAGCTGAGTCTGAGGGCTCTAGAGATACAAACTCCCCAGCACAGGCTCCTATGCCCACACCTGAAAGCACAGGAGCCTGATCACTTTACAGTACAGGGCTGTGAGAGTGACACATTTCTGATTGTCACTAGGGCCTGGATGCCAGTGTCCATAAGTTGTCTGATGGACAGAGTCTAGCCTCTGCCCATAGCCCCTATGGAGGGAGATCTCTGGAGCAAGGGAGCTGGGCAATGAAACAGCGAATAGGGGGATCTGACTTTGTGTTAGCCTATTAGTGGATATTGGCAGAGGGACAAATGGTGAAAGGGCACGAGGGGTGAGAGGGAACATTTAATATGGCTGTCCCCAGGCAGTTGTTAGTGCTCCTAGAAAGCTGTGGCCCATCTATTCCATATTAAAGCTGGGTTTTGAAATGAGCTGAATGAACCTGGGACACTGCCCGGCATTCACTAAATACCCATTAGTTAGATATGGGCATGAGTGTCTGAGTTAGAGATCAGGCATTGCTTCAGCATCCATCAGGGTGGTGCTGGGCTGCTGGACACTGCACTGATCCCCAGCAGGTCAGTTCCATGATACTTCGCACAAGAATAAACCCAATGTCTTGCCCAAATGCCTCCTCACAGGTATTTCCATTTTGTCTCCCTGCAGTTCCATCCCTCCCTTCCTATGGCCCTTCACTGCAGTGACACTGGGGGACAGTAGCTGCCATGTCCTGCCCCAGAAGTGGCTGCATTTCAGCAGGTGCCACATTCATCACTGGGACCTCTTCCTTGTGGGATGAGGCTCAGATCTGCCCAGCTTCTGATTCAGTCTCTTCTTGTCTCACCAGGTGTGACGAAGTTCTAAATGCAAAGCATGATCTCATCCCCTGCCCCACCAGCCCTGTGCTTCCAGGCATGATCAAGGGATGCAACAGCCTCCCCAGAGAGCAGCAAGCACCAGGAATACCTGGATGGTGGGCAATGATCATCCTTCTCATCCAGAGGTTCAGCAACCAGCTTCCTACACTGACCATCGCTCCTGCGATAACACTCAGAGGGCTCTCAGCAACCTATGGGCAATTGCCAGAATGAGGTGCAGGGGAGCTGTCACTGCTACTGGATCCTGGTCTGATCACTACTGAGCTCTAAAACTGTTACTGCGACTATTAAATCTCTTTACTTTTACCATCTTGTTACTCTCTTTTTCTTCCCAGCCCTGTCTAAGGGACATAGGCTTCTCTCGAGGTTTGGGGTCACAGCCCCTGTCAGTGAAGTAGACACAGAAAAGACACAGACATTTTAAAAAATCCTGCCTCGGCCAGAGAAAAAATAACATAGACCCAGCACAGCTTCCTCTGGGTTACCGTATTTGAGAGGGGGTCTTATGCTGCCCCCAATGGCATAAGACTGTAAACTCTCTGAGGCTGGGACTGTCTCTTTTTCTGTGCTTGTTCAGAGCTCAGCACCATACGGCCTTAGGCATCCACCATAATATAGCTGTTTAGTAATCAACAAACAGTTTGAGCTGCAACACACAGCAGCTGGCAGCCTGGTTCTCTCAGAGATAGTGCTTTAGTGAAGTCGCTACTACGCCAACGGGAGAGCATGAATTGTGCTGTGGGCTGAACTTTGTGGGGCCTATGTAGTGTAAGAACCATATTAGAGTCCCCGAGGGAAGGAATTCCCTGTCTATGCCGGTGAGACCACTTGCGCTGGGTGTCAAGCTGCCTGCAGTGACTCAAGAGCCTGAGTACCAACCTCATGGCAGACTGTTGGGAAGCAGGGCACAAACCCCACACTGCTTGTGAGTTTATACTTAGATTTCCCCAACCAATTATTAATTGTAATCTCCTCAGGCACTATAACAGCCTAAGCATGGAGTCACAGACAGTCCCCTTCAGTACTCCAATCTATTTCGCCACCCAGGTGAGCGTACTTTTGTGATAGATCGTCCCTTACACCAAGAATCACAGCAATATTCAGGTCACTCCCAGTCCCAAAGGACCAATCACTTACCCAAGGTCAATTGCACCTTAGATCTCACACCGAAGACAGCACTTGTAGCCAGTCCGATAATAAACTATCTCAAGATTCAGGAGATAGGAACAGGAAATAGGAGAGTTATTTACAAGGTTAAAGCAGGTAAACATAGATACACAAATTAGTTCTAATCTTGAGTTTCAAAAGGTAATAGGGCCCTAGAGCCCAGGCTTCAGCCCAAGCCTGGAAGTGTACACAGCTTGAAACAGCCCCACAGCCCAAGCCCTGTGAGCCCGAGTCAGCTAGCATAGGCTAGCCACAGGTATCTAGGTACTGTGTAGACAGTCCCTTAGAATCAAAGACAGTTTACCCGGCTATCAAGTTAACACGAACTGCTCCTGCCCCTGTTTCCACTCCAGGCTATCCATTCTCAGTCTTTCATTTATAGTCTCTCTCCATGTTTTCTGCTTGCTATTAGCTGCATCAGACAAATCTACCCCCCTGAATATGTCTTCCTTACTCCTCCTGGTTCATCTCCTTATCACACAGAGCTGCTCAGCCGGTGTGCAGGCAGAAACCCTCAAGGGCACATCTGCATAAGCTAAAGAAACAGTGGACAGAGGCACTATTGTGAGTGTACTCACAGCCTTGATCCAGACAAGTTAGATGCACCACTTTCTCACTTTCCCTTGGCAGGAACACAGAACAGCAAGAGCCCTAATCATGGTGGCCTGGGGGTGGAGGGGCAAGATGGGACAAAGGGTGAAGGGGAGGAGTTCCAAGGGGTATCAATATAAGCGCCTAGGGCCACTATTCTGAATACTGGCCCCGTTTTCCACGGGTGGGGGTGATAGCAGCTGATATCTCACTTTTGAGGGTAACTGAGGCTGAAAGGGAACAGCTCCTGCATGCGTGCGGCTACAGACTGGTTCTGCATGCTGCTTGCCTGTGTGCTTCTTTGGTACCTGCAGAGGTAATTGCCAAATGGCAAGGCAAAGTTTCCTACCACGGGGGAAGAAATAAGGCTGCCCTCCCAAGGAACCTTCAGCAGAGGATTGGCAAGTACCTCCAGGAAAGTTTCCCAGGAAATCCCGGTGTGCATCGACAAACTTTTCCGCAGTGCCCCCTCTGCCTAGCTGCATGGGGGAATGAGAAGCAGATGCAAACAGTGCTAGTGTTGGTTATTTCTATCCCTCTCCTATACTGGAACAAACAAACAAAAAGAGAGCTCTTCCTCATGTGTCCCTGCAATATCAAAGTACAATGAGCACTTATACCTCCTGGAGGCCTCTCAGAGCGACATAAGAAACACAATGTCCATCGCTCTAACTACATCACAGAAAGCTCTATGCCGCTCGTCGAGGAGGTTTTATGATGTCGGCGGAGCAGGAGAGTTAAATCAGCGGGAGAAGCATTTCAGTGTGTACACCTCCACTGTTTTGTTGATGAAAGCAGACTTTTGTCGACAAAACTGTATAGTATCCTAAGTGTGTTAGCTTTTAGTTACCTGACTTGACACTTTAAGAGGATGCTGATTTTCCAAAAGTGCTGAGCCACTGCTCTGTGAAAATCAGGTCTTTTTTTAAAAAGGTGTCACCTGCAGAGCACCTCAGGTCAGTCCCTTTTGAAAATGTAGGCCCCAAATCCATGTTTTGGCACTAATCATGACAGGAGAATTTTTAGAGGTACCAAGTACCCACAACTTACCTTGAACTCCCAGTCACTTGGTCCTGCTCAGTGTGTGTGGTTGAGGCGGGACACACACTGAGCTGGACTAGATAACTTCTGGAGGTTCCTTCCAGCCATATATTTCTATGATTCTACATAGGGTAACTTCCTAGACTAGATTAATTGTGATTGCTGGGGTATTAAATCAAATTAAGTAACAAGTCTAATTAACCAAGTGTTAGATAATGTAGATCACACTGACATTGTGCAGTAAACAACATTCTTAGCTCTTTAATTTTAAAGACAAGAAAAATAATATAAAGTATAAGGCAAGTGATCTCAAATTATGAAGGCAAAGAAACGCGGCAAAGAAAGTAACTCAGTAATTATGCTAATAATACAGTGTGAATTAAACAGTTATTGCTTACATGAATAAATGAGCAATCCGCAGGTTCTCAGGTATTGGGACATATTAACTCACTAACAACTGGCCAATTCCTAGGTCCCAAAAACAGGATCACAGGAGGTTTCCTGCAGGAGCAGGTGACATGTTGTCATTGGGAGCAAGGCCTGAGCAGCCAGAAACTTTCTCTGATCCTTGACATTGGGGGGTTTCATGCAACAGACTAGACACAGCAGATGCTTACAGCCACTCTGCCTCCATATAACACACTTAAATGTTAAATAATTACAAACACAGGAGAGCGCTCTGACCCATGGTGAGTTTCGAACAATACTTCTAAATTAGTTCTACACCAGAAAACTTAGCAAACACTACTGCAAGCCACTGTGCAAACAACTTTTGACAAACAGATTACCCCCAGGCTGAAGGCCCCTTTAGAAGGTGGAAGAGAAGGTGAGTCATGCACAAAGTGGTGACTTCTTGTGAATCTCATACTGTAGTCCACAAAAGCAATGAGAGGTCATGGAGGGTGATGGCTCGTATGGTGTAATAGAGCAGCTTCCAGGCCAGAGCTTGGAGCAGTGTCTGATGGCACAGCCTGCAGGGATGTTTGTATTTGGATAGACAGTGAATGTGACAGGGGCAAAGTTGAACACAGGGTGGGTAAATCTGGTGGAGATTGAATAGGATGGGGTTGGACAGAGCTCTTTTGAAACTAGATGGCCTTGTTTTCCACATACACTGGGAGGGTCACAGCTGCTGCTCAGAGAGGATGCAGAGTGGGCTTTTACAGAGAAGGTTGCATAGGAAGGCTGTAGGTGACAACAAAAAGTGACCTCTGTCCCCACAGGGAGAAGTGGAGCCTGATCAGAAAAGCTGCATCAGCAATCTTTCCTAATGAGCAGCTCCTCCCCCTTGCACTATCAGCCATCCACTGCCACAGGGTCAGAGAGCATCTTGTAGCTGATCAGGAAGTAGGGGTAGCACTGGCAGTTGTCAGAGATCACATACACTTGGATATTGCTTTTGCTGTTGACCCAGGAGTTGTAGAGCTGCCCACCAGGCACCACGGGCAGGGGGTGGTGGAAAAGTTTATGCCCAACAGCAGTCTTGCCCACCAGCACCTTGGCCAGGAACATGTTGCGTAGCCCGGCCTTGCTCGCCTGGCCGTGGCGGTGTGAATACATGGCACTCTTGGAGAAATAGCAGCCCCTGCCGTAGATGGGGGCGTGCAGTCTTGAGAAGCTGGGGTCAAAGTTCTTCTGGCAGATGGGCTCCAGGAAGTCAGCAGCGCTCCCATAGAAGAGGTGCTTCTCCAGCTGGTGTTTCTCCTGCAGTGAACATGCGTGGGACATGATGGCCTTCTGCCTGAATGAGACACAAAGGGGAAAAAAAGCAGGCTTAGATCCTGCCCAGAGGGGATGTTTGGGGAAACGTAGAGGCCTAACTCCCCCCAACCACCTCTATCTCCACTTACTCAATAGATAAAGGCCAAAAGCTTGAACGGCAAAGAGTTAGGGAGTCAGTCTTCCCCCCCCCCAGCCCTCAAGGATCCATCCAACAATGACACACTAGTGCATCCAATGTCACTTGAGCACATTAGGATCTGCCCACCACTGCACAAATATTCACATTCCAGTGCACTATCTGTGCACCAGTGCACATGCATGCATCTTGCAAACAAACATATGCAGCCCAGTGTACTAGGATCCATGCACCCATTCCCAAGGATGCATCCAAATATGCAAACTCCAGTGCAGCTAAATCTACCTACACTGCAGCACAAGGAATTGCCAAACAAGAAGCAATCACGCTCAGAGTGGTGTGCTAAAATCCCCACCTGAGGAAACAAGCACTAATATTCACACCCTAGCACACTAGTTCCTTCAGTCATACTCCTATGAGTGCACACCTTAGTGCACTAGCTCCAGGGCTCATGCTCCTAGGCTTCCAGCACTATGGGTTCTGCACCCTAAAGCACTGACATTAGGTTTTACACTTCCTGCCTTGAGCATGGTGAGCTCCACAAGTGTAGGCACTAGCTCCAGCATTCCCCCCTGGCATTCCGGGGCACTAGTGCTAGGATTCTCACGCACACATACATACACACACACGCACAATCTCCCCACAACATTTCTCTTTATACCTGGTGTATTTTCCCCAGAGATCATCATTCCGGATTCGGTAAATCCCCAGCACCAGTGTCTTTTTCTCTGAGAGAGACTGATGGAAGAGAGCACAAACTCTGTGGTACGCAACCTCTGTTGGTAGCACCTCCATCTTCAGGAAAGCCTGGCCATTTGGTGGCTTCGGGACCCAGGCTGCAGGGTAGGAGCCACAGTAGCCATCCTTCGGATTCTCCCCGAGGACGTCAGAAGTGGAAGAAACTGTTCCCCAGGGTCTTCTAGGGAGCGTCCTAGGGAGATAGTGAGACTAGAATTAATCTCCTCTGAATGCTGCTTACATTCCTTTAGGACCATGGTTGCCAGGGGAGTCACTTACGTCAGATGTGACACCATACTGAGGAGGGGGCGGTAGGAAGGCCAGCGCTGGACCAGGCGGACGTATTCCTTATCCCGGTTCTGTTGCACAAGGCGCTTCAGATCCACAATGAAGAATTGGCCCTGGCGTTCGAAGGTGTAGCTGTCTTTGTCTTGCTCATAGGCAGCAAGGAGACCTTGGGCGATGGGCTGAGGGGGAAAGGAAGAGGAGGTATACAGTGAGAGTGCTCCAAAGAGGAAAGCCAAGGACCCCCACACACTGCTCCTTAGGCTGCCACCTTCATCAATAATTCTTTAGATATCTGGGGAAGCCAGAGGCAAAGATCTGCCAGCATCCAGCCTCTCTTCATCTTGACTAACTATGACCTTTCCCTACAGCATCCTTTAGCCTTTTCAGCCTGGTTTTCCCTCAGGCCATAGCAGAGAAACTCCTTTCTCTTCCTGCCGACGAAAGCTCCTTCCCCATCCTCAGTATCTCCCCTCCACACACCTTCTCTCCTCTGTCTGTGTCCCTCAGTGTGTCTCCCCCTTTGCTGTTGTTTTTGGTTTAACTACAGTGAGGCATTTCTGGGGAAACGCACTGTATAATATACACAACGCAGGCTGGACTGCCATTCCCTTTTCCTCACCTCCTCATACTTCATCCAATTGCCATTGCTCTTCCAATAGGGCGCCCACTCTGTGGGGAAGTGGGGGTTCTCCTTTGGATCAGAGGTGTTGGAAAGTCGCCGCACTTTGTCATAGGGTCTGACAAAGCAAACCAGCTCATGGAGTGCAGAAAAATGCTCCCGACAGCACCACCTCTGTGAGCAGGAAAAGGATACAGTAAACAATTATTCCTCCATTACCTCATACCAGGAGAGTCCAGGACTGGAGTAGTTAGGAGCTTCCCTGCACCCAGTGCTTCTGCCCAGTTCCCTACAGCACCTCCTGCTGGGCGAGGCCAGGAGAGCAGTAGGGTGGGAGTTCCTAGCAGCCAGCACTGTGGCCTACACCATAGCTCTCAATTTGGGATCCACACCTCTAGTGCAAATTACCCCTTCTGTAACCTTAGTTCCTTGAGTCTATTTCTGATGTAAAAGAATTTTCAACAAAAAAAGTGAGGGGAGTCCCACACGTGTGGGACATAAGGGACTCGGGGAGTGGAATGAATGAAAGTGGGAGATGTGCGAGGTATTCCCTATGCTGCATCCCAGATTGGGGCAGGGACTTGAGACACCATGATCTCCCTATACCCAGCACCTCTCCCACTGTTTCCTACAGCTCCTCCTGCTGGTAGATTTCAGGACTGGAGTTTGGCTTTTCCACCACTTACTTGTCCACAAACTTAATCTGCTCCTTTCCAGCATCGCAGTAGAGTTTCTCTAGGTGCCGCTGAGCTGACTCGCTAACACTCTGCCAGGCTTTGCTGTCCCTCCGCCTAATCTGCCAATGGTAGGGATAGCAGGTGTGGTGGAGGGGGCAGCTGTCCCCCGGGGTGCAGCCCCCCAGCAGGAAGCGGTCACAAATCTTAATTTCATCTCTTGGATGAATGTGAAATCTGATCCCATTGTCACCACTCAGATACTCAGAGGCCTCCTCGGGGCTCTGGGAGCTCTCTCCCTTGGCTGTGCGCCTGCGTTTTTGGGGCGGGCTGTTGGGAATGGTACTTTCAGTGGCTGAAGAAGCAGACGTCTGAGGGGAACCAGAGCACTCTTCGTGGAAGGAATCCAACTCCTGGGAGAAAGAGTAATTTTGAAATGTAATACTGAGGCACAGAGTAGCTCAATGCAGGGCCTCTAGCTTGAACCCCCCACTCCTGCATGCACTGCTGCCACAATGGGGCCTCTCCTCTGATTTATAATAAACCACACACACACAGTGCTCCTCAGGGACCCCAATGCCTCTTCACACCCCTAACTCACACACACAGTGCTCTCCAGTGGGACCCTATCCCGATATACATAAAAGTAACTTGTCCCTAAATCCACAGGATGGGACACCCCTATCTGGGACTTAAACCTCCCTCTCAGCACAAATGTAGTTCTCTCTGTGGTACCCCAACCCTGCCCCCCAGAGATCTTTTCCTCTCCTGGGGGAATTGATTCCCAGAGTGGCACAGCCTCTGCCAGCCACTGTTCCCCATAGAGATTCCCATTGACAAACACCTGCTGGGGCTGACTGGGGGAGGCACTTATCATCCTGAGTGGGCCTGGTAGCCCTGTGGAATTATTCTGCCCCATCCCTCTCCCTGTGGCTCAGGCCGCAGTGACCCCTCCCAAACGCCTGGCTTGTGTCTTGCTGCGTCTCTTTGAATATGAGGATTCCGCACTGTGTAGGAACAAGGGGTTTAGAACATTGGAACATGCTCTGCGCTGATTGGTGGGAATGGGGGGCTTCTCTGCTCTGATTGGTGGGTTTAAATTTAGTGTTTAATAGGTGTAAAAAGGGATAGGAGCAAAACTTGATCCCACTTGTCTTGTGATTGGGCAGGAGGGTAAAGTCCAGCTCTACCTTAGGTATATTAAAATGAAGTGTAGAGTCTAAAGAAGCATTACACGCCTCTGTTACATATCAAAAGATTTAATACAGTCCCACCTGTATATTAATGACGGGAGGAGCATGAGCAAGCATCTCTCTTCCCCTCTGCTAAGTATTCAGTGGGCTAGTATAATCTACATGTCCCAACTACTACCATTGCCACCAAACATTAAGGAGTCTGGTAAAATACTTTTTCCCATTGGGATATATTGTCTGGGGATTGTATAGTATTCCAGACCCCTGCAGAATAACAAGGGTGGGTAAAGCTAAAGCGCACAAGGGAAGGGACCCAGGGTGGAAATGGGATTTGAGGATTATACTGTCAGTAGTTTCAGCCCTAAAAGGTAGGTTTTGTAGAGCTAGATTATAAAAATGGATGTAGGGAATTGTAAAAGGGAGGAAGGAGAAGAGTTTTACAAAAGCCAATATGAATAAAATTAAAACACAAGTAATGAGAAGAGAGAATACTTTCTTTTACTTTAAACCTGTGGTTAACAGATGACCAGAGAGTGAAACTGACCCAGAGCAGAAATGAAATTGACCTCATGTAGGATCATTCTCCAAGATGAGTGAGGGGCAAAGGGTAAATAAACAGCATAAACAGGGAGGAGAGAAATACATTAATTTTTCTTACATTTCTTTCAGAGTTATTAGCCTAAGGGGATAGTTAGAACATAAGGAAAGAATTATTTGTATCCTGATACCATCCCTTTAAACAATGCATTGACTGTTAGAGCCTTATTTAACTGCTTCCTGTTTGCTTTTTTAGGCCTCAGCTCTGTTGGTGTATAAAGTTCTAATAAAATATTCTGTAACTCTCTGCTAATTTGTGTCTATCACCTTGATGAACCAGCAAAATGGGGAGAAGTTGTTTAACTGGTTCTTTTTTTCAAACCAGAGGAATCTGATAACTGTGATGTCACAATTCAGGGTAGTGACCTCATGGGGAATTTGTGATGGCATTGGTACCATAAGGCAACTCAAATTCTTACTCATAGTTTCCCTGGTGCTTGGAGTTTCCAGCAAATTTTGCTGCAACTATCATTTTTATCCTGGAAATGTGAGGAAACAAATCAAAGTTGCTCTGAGTTTATTGAGGGTTTTGTGCTTTCAAATCAGTGCATTTAAAAGAGGGGTTCATCCAAGGAGGCACGTCGAGCGCTCTGTGAAAACTGAGTCTGTAGATGCCAATTACCGGTCAGGCGGGCACCAGTTTGAGGTCGGGATGTCTACAGTGGGTACCATGGTGTATGGCAACACATAATATGCTGCCGGGCTCTATGATCAAGGTGGTGAGTGTACTCAAGCTCACAGAAGGATTTGAAAAGCAGTGCTTCCCAAACCGTGCTGGACACTTAGATGGTATGAACAGGCTCATTCTGTATACATGCCACCAGCACAATGAGTTAGTTAATACAAAATCTACTGTTCCATTGTGATGCAAGCTGTGGTGGACCACTGCAGACAGTTCTTGGATGTCTGTAAGGGTTGAGCGGTAAAGGGTATGATGTCAGAACTTTTTAAGTCTGATTTTTTTTAGGCATGGTGTGACGGAGCAGCCCCGCCCCGCACTAGCCCCAGCGGCGTCAGACCAGTAGCTCTGATGGAGGAAGTCCCGCCCCGTTCGTACTGGGCATGCTCCAAATGCTCTGGTAGTATAAAAGGAGGGAACTCAGCTCAGTCTGGGGTGGTGGCCAAAGGGGAAGGACCTACCTGGGAAGCTCCTGTGGAGGACCAGCCAACACCCTTGAAGTGGCAGGGAGCTGAAGCGTCTCCTGGCCGGCACGAAGCCCTGCTGCAGGAGGAGCCTGAGGAGGCGACGGACCCGGTGACCCGCGGAGAACCTGGAGACTCGTGGGGGATTCCAACTCTCAAGACGGTAGGAAGCTACTCGGGGGGGTGACGGACTGGTACCTTGCCCCCGGTAAGCTTCAGCATGTTTCGGTAGGATCTCCCTGCTGAGCCAGTGTCAAGGCCCTACGGCGCTGTAACCAGGGGGAATCCTATGAACTATGGCCACTGGGCCACGCTACCCTGTAACCAGGGGCAATCCTATGGACTCCGGCCGCTAGGCCGTGCTGCTCTGTGACCAGGGGCAATTCTATGAACTCTGGCCACTAGGCCACGCTACCCCGTAACCAGGGACAATTCTACAGACTCTGGCCACTAGGCCGCGCTACCTTGCAATGAGGGGCGTAAACCCTCACACGTGGTGGAGAATGTGGGCAGCGATTCGGGCCTGTTGAAAGGTCCAGCGTAAGGGAGTTAAACCGGGGCACCCCCGCCAAGCCTCACGATGGAGACGGAGAAGCTCCTAAAGTGGATGCTGGAAAAGCAGCAGGAGCAGGCGGCCCAACAGCAGCAGCAGCAGGTGCAGATGATGCAGCAGATGGCCAGCCAGCAGCAGCTGCCGATAACCCAGCACCAAGAGCACCAGCAGCAGCTCCTCCGGGAATTAGTGGTCCAGCGCAGCAGACGCAACAAGAGCGCCTGGTGCAGCAGATGGCCACGCTGTTATGCCCGGTGGGAGCTGCAGCCTCCATACCTGCTGGGCCTGGACCCAGGGAGACTTTGGGGGAACTGCCGGTACACCTCACTAAAATGGGGCCAGAAGACGACCCAGAGGCGTTCTTAGTGATGTTCGACTGCTGCCAGGTGGCCCCCAGAACATTGGGCCACCCTACTAGCCCCCTATCTGACGGGACAGGCCCAGGCTGCCTACTGTAGCCTCGATCCCCGGGAGGCCCTAGAGTACCCCCGAGTGAAGGCGGCCATATTGGACCATACCGGCATTAGCCCGGAGACCTATCGCCAGCACCTCCGCAAAGAACAGTACCCCCTTGGGACCCGGCCCCGGGCAGTGGCCCAATGCATTCGAGACCATTGTTGGAAATGGTTGAACCCAGAGGGCTTGATGGGACCACAGGTAGCGGAGATGGTGGCACTGGAATAGTTCACTCAGATCCTGCCCCGGGAGGAAGGGCCTGGGTACGTCGGCATTGGCCGGCAACCTTGTCGGCGGTGGTGGCCTTGATGGAGGACTACTTGTCCGCTGAGGGGGCCGAGGCGCTGACCCGGGTAACAGGAACTTCCGGTCAGAAAGGTGGGCTAGGAAAAGGGAATCCTCAAGGGTCGGTACCCCAGGAACTGTCAGCAGGCGCCCGCCGCACACCTCCAAAACTCCCCAACCCTGAGCCCAGACCCAAGGCCTCCCGGGCACCGATATGAAGGGACCAACAACGCTGAGAGCAAGGGAGCCTCCTGGGCAGAGGCCCAGGACGCGCTGAAGCCCGAGAGGGGTGCTGGGAGTGCGGACAGGAAGGGCATTTTCGGCGGGATTGCCCATTCATGGACTGCAACTACGGACAAGCCTGGGTCGTGGGACTAAGGGCGTGGAAGAGAGGAACAGGAAAGCTGGTGGTCCCTGTCCAGGTCAAGGGAACCCTCATGAACACCCTTGTGGACTCGGGGTGTAATCAGACCCTCATACGGGAGGGGCTGGTCCCGGACCTCAATCTCTCGGGCCCCCCAATCCACTTACAATGTGTACATGGGGACATCCGCCCTTACCCCACGGCCTGGGTGAAGCTAGAAGTATGCCGCCGGGAGGAGGGCCTCCGGGTGGGCGTGGCCCCCAGGTTAGCCTACCCGGTGGTACTGGGGTGAGACTGGCCAGGCTTCGGGGAGGTTCTCCAGAAGTACCAACCACCTGACCCACGGACGGGCGGACTGAGGCCTCCGAGAGCGGGGCTGCTCGGACGCACACCAAGGATCGACCCCGGAGAAGGGACCTCGGCGCCGGAGGAGATACTCGCAACTCGTTCCGCAGCCAGGCCCCGTTCGGTGGAAGATGCCCAGGCGGAACTGGAGCGAGACGTGGACTTTGTACAGGAGCAGAGGGAGGACCCGACCCTAAGTAGAGCCTGGGAACAAGCCACTAGCCCGGACCCCGATGGAGACCCGCCTCCGCGATCCCCACAGGGCCCCCACTTTGAAATATGGCGGGATCGCCTATATCGCCTAGCCCAGGAACCCCAGACCCAGGAGACATTCTGCTAGCTATTGATTCCCAGGAGGCTGCAGCAAGGCCTCCTACAACTAGCCCATGCAAACCCCTGGGCAGGACACCTGGGGCGGGAGAAGACACTCCAGAGGGTGGCTCGCCGGTTCTTCTGGCCGAGCATACACCAAGAGGTTCGGGACTACTGTGCATCTTGCCTGGAATGCCAGCTGCAGGACCGAAGGGGGTAGCCCGGGCACCCCTGGTACCCATGCCAGTCGTTGGCATACCCTTCAAACGGATTGGGATGGACCTAGTCGGCCCCCTTGAAAGGAGCAAGACGGGGAATCGCTTCATCCTAGTGATCGTGGACTACGCAACACGTTACCCGGAAGCCGTTCCCCTAAAAACGGCGCCAGCACCAGCAATTGCTAATGAACTAGTTAAGATTTTCGCCAGGGTGGGATACCTGCAGAAATCCTGACAGACCAGGGCATGAATAAATAAAATAAAATAAATAAATTAATGGAGATATGCCATCTCCTAGAACTGGAAGGGACCTTGAAAGGTCATCAAGTCCAGCCCCCTGCCTTCATTAGCAGGACCAAGTATTGATTTTGCCCCAGATCCCTAAGTGGCCCCCTCAAGGATTGAACTCACAACCCTAGGTTTAGCAGGCCAGTGCTCAAACCACTGAGCTATTCCTCCTCCCTCCTGGAATGTGTCCTCCAAGCTGATAGCCGAGCTGTGTCGCCTCCTCCACATACAAACACTCCGGACATCAGTTTACCATCCACAGACAGATGGCCTGGTGGAACGTTTCAATGGCACCTTGAAATCTATGCTACGGAAGTTCATGGAGGAGGACCCTATGGGATACTCTGTTGCTAGCACTGTTGTTCGCCATAAGGGAGGTACCCCAGGCCTCGACAGGGTTCTCGCCCTTTGAACTCTTGTACAGAAGGCAGCCCAGGAGGATCTTGGACCTCTTGAAGGAGGAGTGGGAAGCCCAGGAGACACGAGTTCTCGGGACCACCCAGAACGTGTTACACCTCCGAGAGCGGCTCCAAACACTAGGGGCCTTCGCCCGGGAGAACTTGATACAGGCCCAAGCGAGCCAAGAACGCCTCTATAACTGCGGGACTAAGGGGCGGAGTTTCGGCCAAGGAGACCGGGTGTTGCTCTTGTTGCCCTCGGCCGAGTCGAAACTTCTGGCCAAATGGCAGGGCCCCTTCGAGGTAGTCCGGCGAGCTGGGCCAGTGGACTACGAGATCCGACTACCAGGGCGACGGAGGGAGACGCGTATCTACCATGTGAATCTTCTGAAGGCCTGGAAGACCAGGGAAGCCCTTCTCATCAGCTCGTCCACCCCAGAATCGGAACTCGGACCCCTAGTGGGAGATCCACCAGACCCAAGGCCGGTGACGCTGGGGTCAGGCCACACCCCCGGACAGCGAAAACAGCTACAACAACTAGTGGAGGAGTTCCCGGATGTCTTATCCGCCTGCCCTGGACGAACGGCTCTAATGAGTCATCACATCGCCACCACCCCCGGTCAGAAGGTAAGAGACCACTACCGACCGTTGCCACGGAAAATGTGGGACACGGTCCGACAGGAGCTAGAGACAATACTGGAGATGGGGGTCGTGGAGGAATTGGCAAGCGAGTGGCACAGCCCCATCATCCTAGTCCCAAAGCCCGATGGGACTACCCAGTTTTGCATCGACTTCCGAAAGGTCAATGCCATCTCCCGCTTCGATGCATACCCGATGCCGAGGGTGGACGAATTGCTGGAACGGCTTGGGGGAGCGAGGAACTTGTCTACCATAGATCTAACCAAAGGATACTGGCAGATCCCCCTCACACCAAACTCCTGGGAGAAGACGGTCTTCCCAACACCTTTCAGCCTCTTCCAATTTATAACCATGCCGTTTGGGCTACACGGAGCCGCTGCTACGTTCCAGCGCGTGATGAACAAGGTCTTACAATCCCACGACTAGTATGCGGCAGCATATATAGATGACATCGTAGTCTACAGCAACAACTGGGAGGAACACCTACTCCATCTGGCAAGGGTGTTGCAAGCCCTCAGAGCAGCCGGCCTCACAGCTAACCCGGCAAAGTGCCACCTTGGATATACGGTAGGAGGGGAAAAACTGACACCCCTAATCAGCAAGGTGCAAGCTCTCAGAGACGTACCCGTCCCCAAGACAAAGAAACAAGTGCGCCAGTTTTTGGGACTAGCTGGATACTACCGCCGCTTCGTGACGGATTTTGCATCCATAGCCGCCCCCTTGTCGGACCTGACAAAGAACTTGCAGCCTCGACAAGTGCAGTGGTCGGAACAATGCAAGAAAGCCTTTGGAACCCTGAAAGAACAACTCATGCAAGAACCAGTCCTACGACACCCAGACTTTTCAAAGGAATTTATACTGCAGACGGATGCCTCGGAAGTAGGCCAGGGGGCTGTGTTCTCCCAGGAATCAGACAGGGAAGAACACCCGATACTGTATCTAAGCCGTAAACTGTTCCCCCGGGAACAACGTTATTCCACAATAGAGAAAGAGGCCCTGGCAGTGAGATGGGCCATCGACACCCTACGTTATTATCTGTTGGGGAATAACTTCAGGTTGATCACAGACCATGCCCCTCTACGGTGGATACATAGTATGAAGGACGCAAACCCTCGGATTCTGCGCTGGTACCTCTCTCTCCAACTCTACGACTTCCGCGTATTTCATAGCCCGGGTAAGGCACACGCTAACGCGGATTTCTTTTCCAGACAGGGGGAGGAGGGGGCGGATCAACCCGGGGGATCCCTCTTAATGGGGAGGGTGTGTGACGGACCCGGAGACCCGCGGAGAACCTGGAGGCTCGTGGGGGATTCCAACTCTCAAGACGGTAGGAAGCTACTCGGGGGGCGTGACGGACTGGTACC